GAACTGGCCCGCCAGTGTGCGGCCCCACCCCTGCCATCACCACCATCACCACCACTAAAGTGAGTGGAAGGGGAAAGCAGAGTGAAATTTTTAAATGGAAATTTTTATTCTCCTACATGGCTGGCAGCACTGTCCTACAGCACTGTCCTCCCATTGTTCCAACGATTTGCTCTAGCGGGCACCAGTAATGTCTCCATTGTGAGACTTGTTACTGTTTTTGGCATATCAAATGTGCTATGGGGAGTTTGCCAGGCTCTGCCGTACGGGCAGGATACTCTCAGTAGCTTTCTGGGCTCTCCAAGAGGGACGGAGGAATCGAACCCGGGTCGGCCACATACAAGGCAAATGCCCTACCTGCTGTGCTATTGCTCCAGCCCTTATTCTTATTCTCCTATATGGCTGGCAGGAAGGCAAAATTGTAGAAAACTGTTGTAGAAAACTGTTGGGACGCTCCGAGCAACTAGATCCCTCACAAAGAGAACTGCAAAGGTACGCTGACAAATAAAGTTGTCAAACTTTACAGCATTGTAAGAGCCAGCGTGGCCACAGCACAACTGCCCATCCACTGACAAACTTTTAAAAATGTACGTTCATACCATTGAATATTACTAGGCCAGGAAAAGGACTAACATGCTGATACGTGCAAAACCACGGGGGGGATCTTGAAAACACCATTTTGAGTGAACATAACCAGTACAGAGAGCTGTATGTTGTATTATACCATTTAGGGGAAATGTCCCAAGTAGGCAAATATGCCCACAGAGGCAGACAGAAGACTGGCAGTTCCCTGAGACTGAGGAGGAGAAGATATGGGGAACGGCAGCTAAGGCGGGGAGTGTTTCTTTTAGGGGCAACTAGTATTTTTTTTTATATATATATATAATTTGTTTCTTCAGCAGAGCCTGGCATGCTCCCTATGGCGTATTCAATAAGCCAAAAACAGTAACAACAAGTCTCACAATGGAGATGTTACCGGTGCCTGCTGGAGCAAATCAATGAACAACAGGATGACAGTGCTACAGTGGGTCATATCTGGCAATGCTCAGGCATTAGTCCTGGCTCTGCACTTAGGAAATTTCTCCGGGCAGTGCTCAAGGGACCCTATCACTTGCTAGGGAGTGAATCCGGGTCAGCTACATGAAGGCAAGTGTCCTCCCTGCTGCGATATCTTCAGCCCCGTAACAGGGTTTCTGAATTGGAGTACAACCATGTGAACACATGACAAAACAAACTGTACACACGTAACTCCTCAGGGAATTGGGGGCCTCCCAAGCAGGGTCAGGGGGCCCAGGGGTCTTCTCCAGTTGGAGGGCCTGACTGTTCATTGCTTGGGCTCAGGCCAGGGAGCAGGTGGGTCATACCTGGTGATGCTGGGGCAAGGGGGACATGGGGTATTGGGGCTCTAGTCTGCTGAACTGTCACCCTGGCCCCTTGTGAGTTTTATGTGAATTTTTATTAATATGAATCAAATTTCAAATGAAAAATGAGGGCTGGGAGAGAGATGGCTCAAAGGACTGGGGCACATACTCAGCGCAAGGGTCCCGGGTCAGTCCCTGGGACAGGCACTGCCTAGATCCCCTCACTGCTGGGAGTGTCCCTATTAGCCCCTCCAAAGAAAGGGAATAAAAGAGAATTTTTAAAAGAGAAAACTGTGTAAAATGTTTAGAAATAACATATCCAAATCCTTATCACTCATTAATGTGAGCACAAATGACTTTCTCTTTACTGTTTCTGACAACAATTTCCAATTTTTCTATCTTGACCACGTATTATCTTCTTCTCAGAAACTAACAAGCTAAATTCCTTGGGGCCAGAGAGATAGTACAGTGGGCAGGGCACTTGCCTTGCATGCAGATGACCTGGGTTTGATCCCCAGCATCCTACCTGGTCCCCCCAAGCCCCGCCAGGAGCAAGCCCTAAGCACCATCAGGTGTAGCCCCCAAACAATAAAAACCCACCAAGAAACAAGTTAAACTTCTCTTGGGAGTCAAATAAATATATGCATCAAATAAAGCAATTATAAACTATTTTGAAACAATAAAGGAGGCTCATCAAGTAAGGAAAAGTGGCTTCCTTGTTCAGGACAGAAACCCTTATGCTGTGGCAGAAATGCATGAACCCTGGGCTGGAGAGAAAGCACAGTGGATACAGAACTTGCATTGCACGCAGCTGACCCCGGTTCAATTCTGGGTGATCTCTGAGAACAGTCAGGAATAAGCCCCGAGCACTGCCAGAAATGGTCCGAAAGCCAAAACACCAAACCAAACCAAACACTAAATAAATGAATAAAAATTAAAAGGGAAAGAAATGATTAAACTCTATCCCCCTTCTTCTACTCCCCAAGCAGGTGTTGAGTAGCTGGTAGACGGAAGTGTGGGCTAAGATGCTCTGTGTGGTTTCTTAAGGATTGAGCCTTTTGCAAACACCCTGACACTCGAACTGCATCCCTGAAATTACACCTACCTTCTGTGATTTAATATATCGGGTGAGTACAAATGTATAAGAAATGGGCCCCTAAAAGCCAAATCATGACTCTGCTTAGAAATGCAACTTATACAACAGCCGAGGGGAAATCCGGCCGCATGAAATGGGAACTTTCAATATTTTATTTGAAAAGAACAGCCTCCTCCCAAAGTCAATGAGCTAACTAAAAAAACTGAACCTGACCCACTCGACTTTCAGCAAAGGCTGAATGCAATTTGTTCACCTTGATGCTAATCATCAAATTACTAATAATGCATGTGGATACAGTTAAGTCCACTGCCAGGCATTTGCTTTTAATTTCAAGGCATTTTAATTTACAGACTATTCTGAATCCCTAATGGGTCAGGAGTTGAGGCAATTAGCGAAAATCGTTGGCAGCTCACTACTCACAGAAACACTTCAGCACAGGACATTACAATCGTGCCAGGGCTCGCACGGGACAAACAAAGCCAGTCCCGTATGTGAAGTTTTCATCTGAAACTCTCTCAGGTTGATGTGTCAAGGTTCCATCTACTTAAAAAAGGAGCCCAAGATGCCTCAGCACACAGGGCAGTTGGCACATGGGGCAACAGGCACCAGTGGGCAGTCAGAAGGACCTGAGACATGGGTGGGGGGGGTGGTTTCCAGGCTTGGCATCCTGAGCTCTACCAAGAAGGCTCCATGGTTCTTTTCTTGGGCACAGCAGAGAGAGCCCAAAGTGCTGAACACCTGCTTTGCATCAGGGAGGCCCAGGAACAGAAGGAGCCCCTGAGCACTGCCAGGTATGAAAGTCCCCTTGGGAGAGGGTCCCTAGCAGGACTCTGGGGGTCAGGAGTCACTGTGGCCATAACCCAAAACCAGGGAGCCGTGTACTTGGGTCTTTTGCCCCTGACTCCCGATTATTTCCCAGTTCATAAAAGGTTCTCAATGACACAAAAATGCATGCGTGCGTGCGTGCGTGCGCGCGCGTGCGTGTGTGTGTGTTGTGGGGAGTGATGGTGGGATTACTGGAAGAAGGAGCAGCAGCTGGAGGTACTTCGTCAGTTTGACCCCTCGGCTGGTGTCTTGTCTGCGCTGTAACATCCCAAGCCAAGGAATTCACAACTTCCTACAATTATTCTAAAGGGTATCAAGATCTTTGGCTCATTTTGTAGTTAAAGAGATTTCCGAAAAGCATATCCTGGGAGCAAGACAGCGTGGCAGGAGGTAAGGAGCAAAGGGGCAGCAAGTGTTCAGGATGGGTGCCAGTTGAAGCTCCTGGTTCAGCCAGGAACTCGCTTTCAGGATAGCTGAGCGGACTACAACATGAACCAAGGATTTTGCTGACCTTTAGCATAGTCACAGGAAGTCAGTAAATTTCCAGGACTAGGACCTAAGTCTCCCTTGACTACTAGGCTGAGGATTTTGCTACCAAGTCACCCAATTTATCTGCTGTTACCAGCAGTTTACAGAAAAGAAGTTTGACTCTCTCGGCTTTTATTTCTCTGCTCTCTGCCTGTGTGCACAGAGCGTGCACTCTATGCATGCCTAGGAAACAGAAGAGCCAGACATGATTCCCAGACTCAAAGAGCTTGAAATCTGTGTTGTGTGTAATGACACACAAAAAAATTTTGGTTTCCACACATGATGCATGCATTGGCAAAAATCTGGGTTTCGCAAAACAAGCTTTCAGAGAGACACGTTCAATCTGAACTTGGTTGCACAGAAATGAAATGATGTAATCAAAACTTAACCACCTTTCCTGTGGAGGTCGAGTGTTCTTAGAACTTTTCATCTTCAGTCTCTCTGACACACAGATTTATAGACCTGGTATTGAAGTTTACAGAGACACAGTGTCCCGATTTTCTCACTAGAGACATTATCCTGAAGTAAAAATATCCCAGTAATTTTTTTGTTTGTTTGTTTTGGTTTGTGGGTCACACCTGGCTATGCTCAGGGCTTACTCCTGATTCATGACTGTGCTCAGGAATCACTCCTGGCGGGCTCAGGGAACCAATGGGGTGCCAGAGATCGATCCTGAGTCAGCTGCATGCAAAGTAAGCACCCTAGCCATTATCACTCCAACCCACATCCCAGTTACTGTTAACAAAACTCAGTAGTTGATAAAGGAATAATTGCCCCGTGGCTCAGTAAGGGAGGCCTCTATAATGTACTAATGTGTCAAATGAGACCAACACTTTGTTTTCAGTTTCGGTACACAGGGCTTACTCCTGGCTCTGTGTTCAATGATCACTCACGGCAATCCTCAGGGGACCAAATGCAGTGCTGAGGATTTGAAATGGGTTGGTTCTGTGCAAGGCAAATGCCTTATCCACTGTATTTTCTTTCTGGTCTAAGGTCAATACTTCTGATAAAGTAATGATAGGAAGTGCTGCATAACAGACAATAAGGATCTTTCTATCATCACTAAATCAATAAAATCCCTGGAGTAGGGGATTCAGTTGTTGACCCAATGGCAACAACGACCACATAATGGAGTGAAGTCTAACCACGCAACCCTCTGGTAATGGTCCAACCTCCCTTAGGTAAGGTCTTACCAGTGTTCCATCTGTCAGGGTGCAGCCGGAAAAGCTTTTTGCAAGAAATCCCTCAAAGTTTGTTGTTCTCTGAATAGCAAAAAGAAGCAATTTCACTTCAATTTCCTTAGCTCTAGTACGCATAATCTTGGCAAGTTCTGTCCTTCAAAATAGAGATGGAAATATTATCAAACAAATTTTTCAAGAGCAGACAAAGTAAATCATTTGCATTTGCATTTTTAAAAAAGTATATAATCATTTCAAATCCTGGCCTATGCTTTTTACTTGAGTGCTTGGGAAATAGTACCCACAGATTACAAATATGAAATTTCTGGTTTGCATAATGCCCCCAAGTAGAGAGTAAGAAGGAAATTGTCTGCCATAGAGGTAGGGAGTGGGGCCAGATGGGGGTGGCGGGGGACACTGGTGGTGGAGAATGTGCACTGGTAGAGAGATGGGTGTTTGATCATTTTATGACTGAAAATCATGAAAGCTTTGTAACTGTATTCCATGGTGATTCAATTAAAAAAATTGTTTTTTTGGTTTGGGTTTGGTTTGGTTTACAGGTCACACCCAGCAATGCTCAGGGGTTACTCCTGGCTCTGTGCTAAGGAATTACTCCTGGTGGTGTCTGGGGGACCAAACAGGGTGCCAGGGATTGAACCCTGGATGCCTGTGTGCAAGGCAACATGGATAGTACCTGCTGTACTATCTCCCTGGCTCCTATAAATAAGACCTTTAAGGTAAAATTACTTATTAGCCCAAGTTCATACTCTGGCACCACATGGGCCCCAGAACTCCATCACATGTATCCTGGATGCCGCACCAGGAGGTCCAGGCAGCTCTGTATCCTTGGACCCAGGCACTGAGTCACCCAGCCCTGTTGGCTGAGCACTGACCACCAAGAGTGGCTCTCAGACTCCCAATGCAGTGCTCAGAAGGCCCTACCCAGCCCAAATCAAGATTTATAGACAGCAATCTGTTTGCTTTCTTGCCACAATAGTTGAAGCACTGTAGCACTGTTCTCCCACTGTTCATAGATTTGCTCGAGTGGGCCCAGTAACGTCTCCATTGTGAGACTTCTTGTTACTGTGTTTGGCATATCAAATATGCCACAGGGAGCTTCCCAGGCTTTGCTGTGCGGGCGAGATACTCTCGGTAGCTTGTCGGGCTCTCCGAGAGGGGCAAAAGAATCGAACCCAGCTTGGCCGGGCCGGCCGCACGAAAGGCAAACACCTACCACTGTGCTCCAGCCCACAATAGTTAGATTTTTAAAATGTTCAATAATTAGGGGCTAGAGAAATAGTTCAGTGGGTAGGACACTTGCAAACAGCCGAACCGGGTTGGATCCCTGATATCCGATATCCCATATGGTCCTTCGAGCCCCACCAGGAGTGAGTGCAAAGCCAGGAATAAGCTCTGAGCACGGCTGGAAGTGGCCCACAGACAAACAAAATCATAAAACTTTCAATAATGAAAATAAATTTTACTGTCTGTGGGCCACACCTGGGGCAGCTTGGGTCCCAGAGTCACCAGCAGTGGTCACCAGGCAGTGACAGGGACTGAAGCTGGGACCTCAAGCCTGCCAGGCATGTACTCTGCCACTTGAACCATATCTCTGGTTCCAACAGTTTGTGAGTAAGATACAGAAAGCATCTGCTTGGTGCACTTTATAAAATGCCTATTTCCAGGAGGGGCAGGAGTGTCAGAGCCTAAACTGCACACACACAGGGCTTTGAGCTCCATCTCTGAGAACCAGAAAAGAGCTTACAGACTACAACATTTCCTCAATTATACACCACTGAATTCTGGAGCAATCTCTCTGACAAATACCGGGTGATCTTGCTCCTGTGTGGTTTACAGAGAAACCAAACCAGGGAACAGACAGTATTCAACAATGACTTACCTTTGGTGTGGGATTAAAAAACTGAGATTACCAAGAGGTGAGGGAACAGGGCAGGGAGGGCAGGAAGGGGGGGCTAGAATAGAGAGAGAGGCCAGTGGGGAGTTGAGCGCATTTTGGTGGTTGGGAGGGGGCAGTGACTTCACATATCAAAACCATAAATGTTGGGCTGGAAAGATAGTACAGTGGGTAAGGCACTTGCCTTGCCTGTGGCTGAGCTGGGTTTAATCCCCAGCACCCCATATGGCCCCTCAAGCCCACCAGAAACGGTCCCTGAACACAGAGTCAGGAGTAAGCCCTGAGCAGCACCAGTGTGCATTAAAAATCAAAACACAAAACCAAAAATAACCCAAACCCATAAATGTTAACACTACTGTAACCATGTTGTCAAAATCACACAAAAAAATTATTTTGAAATAAATTCCACCTATACCTTGAAACGCGGGCAGAAAAAAAAAATCACATACTCTCTCAGTAATGCTTTCTTTCCATCAGACAGCAGAAACCCTGGTAACAGACGAGAGACCAGAATCCTTCGGTGAAACGCGACCTGTGTGTGCCTTGGAGCGCATGTGCCACTCATTTGGGAATGCGGGTCACAATGTGAGCTGCTTGGGGGGAGCAACACGGGAATTCCAAGCAAGTACTGAGCGGCGATCACCTTCCCACGCAAAGAAAAGACCCAGTCTAAGCAAGAACCTCCGGGTTGACTTGAGAATTATGTATGTGTAGGACTGCGGCCAAGATTCCAACAATGAGAGCTTGGCAGCCGCACGGCCCTTTGCCGACACAACAATAGCAGGTCCGCTGGCGTGAGCGCCCAGCCCGTCCCCGGTGGGCTTCGGTTTTCAGGGACGGAGTCTGCAAGCCACTGAACCGGAGGCCGGAGAGAAGCACTAATCAGTTTCTCAAGGAAACCTCACTCTTTCTTGGCTCAGCAGGACTTCGCAAGCGACAACCACAGCTGACCTGTGGCTCAATGCTAAATCTGTGGCTGCATGTGTGACTCTTGAAACAACAGTCGCTCCACATGCAGAGTGAGCCTGGATGGAACCTACGGTGATAATGAGGTGTCCATGAAGGGTCACTGACTGGGACAAACGTCTCCGCTCTGCTGGGGAAGGCTGATAATGAGGGAGGCCACACACGGGCCAGAGGTAAAGGGGGAACCTCCGGATCTTCCTCTCAATCTCCCTGTGAACATGAAACTGCTCTAAAAACTAAAGTCTGCTGAAAAACAACCCCTAAATCAAGGCTGGAGAGTCAATGCAGGGGTTACAGTACGTTGGCCTTATATGTGGCCAACTCCAGCTGGATCCACAGCTCCAAACACTCCCCAAAGCATCTCCAGGTGTAGTCCTGGAGGCCTCCTGACCTTCACACGGTCTGGTCCTTGGGGCATTGAGCACTGCCAGAGTGGCCTGGACGATCCCTGGCACAAGGTTATAAAAGCATCGCATCCTGCCCTCACATTGAACGGCCAATCCTGGTTGGCTGAGAACTTCTGGGAGGGCCCACTGAACCCGCTGGGCACTGCATGGGAGACCCAAAAAAGGAAATCAAAAAATCTATCTGCCAATATCTCTGAAGACATTTCTCTCCCCATCATAATGGACTTAAGCATTCAATTTGACGGTACCCTGTGACTTTAAGAAAAAAAGACTTTGGGTTAGAGAAGTAGCTCAAGTGACCAATGCACATGCTGTGCATGCAGGGGCCTGGGTTTAATTCCCAGCACCACATGGTCCCCTGAGCACTGCCAGGAGTGACCCCAAGCACAGAGCTGAGAGTAGACCTGGAGTACCACTGGGCATGACCCAAGAACTGGACAGACAGAGATATTCTATCTAGCAACAATTTTAAAGTTTTAAAGGATATCAGATACTACAGCACCAGGAAACATTAAATACCTAGAAACAAATCTGTCAGAAATGTGTGTTTCACACAGAGAATGATGCAATATTAAAAGACTTTTTTCTTGTAATTTTTTGTGTTTTGGGCCACATCCTGCAGTGCTCAGCGGTTACTCCTGGCTTTGCACTCAGGGATCAGTTCTGGCAGACTTGTGGAACTAAATGGTGATTAAACGGTACTATTGTTCCAGCCCTGCAATAAAGACTTTTAAAATGGCAGTCAAGGGGCTGTGGAGACGGATCTGAGCGCATGCTTTAAGGGGGAACCCCAGGTTCTACCCTCAGTCTACACAGTTCCCTCGAGTACAACCAGGAGTGGTTCTGAAGCACTGCCAGGTGTAGCAGCTCCTCCAAAAAAATGGAAAAACAGCTGCTGTTAAAGACTCAGTGTTCACAAGATATAACTCAGTCAAAAATTAATCTGTAGATACAGTACAATCCCAATTTAAATTCCAACAAATGTAGGGTGGCAGGTGTGAGGTAGGGGTGTGTGTGTGTGTGTGTGTGTGTGTGTGCGCGCGCGTATGAGAATATAAATAAAGTGGTTTTAAAAGTTAGACAGGAAGCCCCAGACATCACCAAATATAGGCCAAATGTAACATCCATTAATTATGGAGTTCAGTTATGCTTAGACAAGGAATTTTTTTCCCTATTAATTTGGACTTAATGTAACTGTGTAGTATGAGAAAGATACATAAAACTAACAAACCCACAGTTATCATATAATATCTCAAGTAAAAATCTGGGCACTAATTTTAGCACAGATACACTGATCAAACTTTCCTGGACTTCAGTTCTCTGATATAAAGCAACTGGCTGGTGGGGCCAGACAGGTAGTAGAGAGGGTAAGGTATTTGCCTTGGAAACAACTACCCAAAGCACCAACAGGTGTGATCCCTGAGCAGAGAACCAGGAGTAATACCTGAGCGCAGTTGAGTGTGGCCCAAAATAAAATTAAAAATGAAACAAAACAAAACAGACTGAACCTGAGCTATACTCATAAATAACAAAAACAGCTGGAGTGGGAGATGGTCTTTAAAATGCTAGGCAGATCACTCAGATGCCAATATTATTAACTATCCGAAGATTAGAAACACTTTATTAGGGATGGGAAATTTGTTCAACAAACATTTCCTGAGTGTTACTAAGGGGCAATGCAGCACAGGGAAATCTTAGCTGATGAGTCCAGAGTTGATGCTAAGAAGGCAGATCTTGTGTTCAAAACAAGAGTGAGGCCAAGAGAAAGTTCTGGAGTTAAAAATGAGAGCAGGATGGGGGAGATAGCTGGATCAAAGGAGTGTGGTATCAAGTGTTTTCACTAGACCAGGAAGTGGTACTCAATTTACAAGACATCATGGAACACCTAGAGACTGGGAGGCCTATATCAATCTATTCATTTCAACCGATCTCAATGAACATCAGAAGTAATGCAGAACTGGAATCTACCTTGTGACATGGCAAAATTCTACTGCAATCCTCTCGGTCATGTACCACTCACATGGGAACATTCGGCCATATTTCTCCTCATAGTCCACAAGCTGGCGTTTGATCCAAGCATAGCGTCTGTCTATTTTGTCCAGCCAGGCAACCTGAGGCAGGAAACAAAATGTGCTTCAGAGCTTAGAAACAGTTTTAGCAGGTTAGGGAAACAAGCAAGAATAATAAACTAGGACAAATACAGTGAATCACTCTCTTTCTCAGTTTTAATGAGTCTAGGCTACATTTTTTTCCCACCTTAAAAACCTAACCCAGAGGTTCTGAACCTGGAGTCCAGGATCAGGCTTCCCAGAAACCACAAATTTTCTGAAACTATGCACAGTTTTATGCATTGGTGTAGTTTTCTGTGGAGAAGAGCAATAGCTTTCATTAATTTCTTCAAAGGGCAAGTGACTCCATCCCTTAAGAACCAGTGAACTGTGCTGTGAGCCCCGAGGATACAAAGTTCAACAATACTTTATTACTTAAAGACAGTGATACTACTTTAAAATACACAATACTCTTACTATTCAAAAAATTAACACTTCAAATACTAATTGAAATATTACCTTAAAGCAATGATACTAATAAAGTATCATCAGTAGACCTGAAAGCCTGAGCTCTGTCCAGGGGGAGCTGCATACTCAGCAGTGCTCAGGGGACCATGTGGGATACGGGGATCAAACCCGGGTTGGCCGCATACAAGGAAGGCAAGCTCCCTCCCCACTATATGCCCCAAGCATGCATTTTTAATACAATTCTAATTTAACTTCTGGTCCTCATTTGGTCTATACTCACATCTTGATTTTCTTGAAAAAGTACTAAATACTCCGAAAGATGCTGTTTTATGAACTTTTTGATGATCTCCTGTTTGATTCGGGGGTCCAGAATATTCGCAACCAGGCATGCATCTCGCAGGACATTGCTGGGTCCTCCTGGCCTCTGGCAGAACAGACAACATGCAGGTGAGAAGCCAAAAAAAGCCTGGGAGCCTCTCGGCTTCCGACAGCTGCTTCTTGTTCTCCTCTTGACGTTCTGATTGCTCCCCTCCCCTGGCTGCCTTCTTCTCTGGATGTGTATTTTACTCAGTCCACCGTGAAAGTATCATCAGACTATATTGCAGTGGATAGTATAAAAGATACTTTGTGAATTGGGGATGGGATTTTTTGGCAAAAGGGAGCCTGCAGTGATCATAGGGAATTTTGTATTCTGAGTATGAAAACTGAACCTACTTTGCAGATGAGTCCTGAAGGTCGGAAAGACACCCATCTTTCCACATTGGCATTTTCTCCTGACTGCAACCTCAAATTCCTTTTCTTACAGTGCCAAATGATGTGGTGACACAGAACCTCAAAGCAGGTTCCTGAAGAACAGGCTTGTTTGTCCACATCAACCGTTTGGAAAAGCTAAGGATGGAACACTGTGACATGGGAGGGCACCACCCACAGTGGGGAGACTTTTGCTATGATTGAAACCAAGTCAATCTTGCAGAATTATTCTTTATGGTATATCACTGAATGAAAATGATCGGCTGAGTGGGTTGGAGTTAAAAGAATACTTGGGGTCTACTCCGGGTGTAGTGAAATTGCCACATAGCTTCGGCACAGTTACCTCATCTAAAAAATAATGGGCTTTACAAACAATCACTATTTGCCAACATGATACTACGCACTGAAAACCTTAAAGATTCCACCAAAAAACTCTTAGAAATAATAAGCCAATAAATACAGTAAGGTAGAAGGTGCAAATGTAACATCCCTCCCCCCTCAAATCCATGGCACTCCTGTCTGCAAATAATAAACAAGAAGAAAAAGAAAATAAGAAGACTATCTCTTTCAAAATAGTACTCCAAAATCTCAAATACCTAGGAATCAACGTAACAAGGGCGGTAAAAGACTTACACGGTAAAAACTAAACTGTTGCTAAGAAAAAAGAAGAGGACAAGAAAAGATTAAAACAAGGAAATGCAAAGATATTTCCTGTTCATGGGCTGGAAGAATCAACACTGTCATGATAACCATTGACCCAAAGTACTGTATATCACCAATTAATAAAAAGGTTTAAATTATTTTGTTAAGATAATAATAATGGACTTAAGATAATAATAATGGACTGATCTGACAACGAAGTCACAGAAGCCACAAACTCTCTGGTCAGAGGTTTCAAGTTTTTCCCTTAAGAAAACAACTTCGGGGCCAGAGTGGTAGTATAGTGGGTAGGGTGTTTGCCTTGGACACAGCCGGCCTAGGTTGAATCCTCAGTGTCCATTATGGTCTGTCCCTTGAGACTATCTGGAGTGATTCCTGAGTGCAGAGCCAGGAATAAACCCCTAAGTATTGATGGGTGTGAGCCAAAAACCAGGGAAAAATAAAGAAAAGGACTTCAGAGACTAGAGAGATAGTACAGCAGGTAAGGCCCTTACCTAACACATACCTAACCCAGGGGTCAATATCCAGAACTCCATATGTTCCCCTGAGCCCCAGTAGGAGTGATCCCTGAGCACAGAGCCAGGAGTAAGCCCTGAGCAATGCCAGGTGTGGCCCAAAAACAGAAAGAAAGAAAGAAAGAAAGAAAGGAAGGAAGAAAGAAAGAGAGAGAGAGAGACGGGGAGAGGGAAGAGGTAGGGATAGAGAAACAGTGAAGCTTAAAGAGCTGGAGAGATACCGCGCACAAGGGCTGAGAGCTCATGCTTTTGATAATTTTTTAATATCTTGATTTCCATTATAGTGAAACAAGACTATTGATTCAAGGCCTTTAAGAAAAGCCCATAGTCAACCCAGAGTGGGCCGGGGAGTCCCCTCCCTGCCCCAACAGAGCCAGCCCCAGCAGCCTACAACCTCCAGAACTCAACAGCCACCATTCTCATGACCGCTCTCCGCGTGCTTGGACGAGCCTCACCTACGAGTGAATCTATTCCTGGACCGCATGGCCACACAACATCTCATACTTTACAACACCAATATACTAAGAGCAGCACACGATAGTTGATTGGGAAAGCAACCAATCTTAGGGGGTAATATGTTTATATAAATACATGTTTGCACACAAGGCTCAACCTTTAACAACATGTTACTAATCTCTGATAGAAGGGCTTAATGACTCCTGGGTGGAATACAACAATCTTCACCTACTTTCCTCTAAGAAACCTTTTTTTCAGTCTTATTTTTAGCAGATCCCCTGACCCTGAAAGAACCCCCAATGCAGCAGCGTTGGGAAGGACGAGTAAGGAGAGGCTGCTGAAATCTCAGGGCTGGGACGAATGGAGACATTACTGGAACCTGCTCGAGCAAATCGATGAACAACGGGAGGACAAGTAATACAAGTGATACAAGTGATTCATAGCGAGCAATATAAGAGAAATTATTTTGGTTTTGCTTAGGGGGGCAGGGTTTGAGGTTCAGGATGAAAATATGGTGATGAGAAGATATAATGGTGGTGGGATTGGTGTTCGAATATCAAATGTAACCAAATACTGTGAACAATTTTATAAATATAAAATATAAATAAATGAGGAAAGCCCATAGAATTTAAAAGGAAATGCGAAAACTCATTCAAAGAACATTAAGTCACCCTGTCAGAGGGAAATGAGTTGCAAAAGAAAAACATTTTAGTGTTGCTGCCTGCTAAGAGCAGAGAAAAGAATTAAAAAAAAAAATGGAGGGGGAGAGGACTGGAGCAATAGTACAGTGGGTAGGGAGTTTGCCGTGCATACTGCTGACCTGCGTTCAATCTCCAGTATCCCATATGGTCCCCTAAGCACTGCTGGGAGTAATTCCTGAACGCAGAGGCAGGAATGACCCAAAAAGCAAAAAAAAAAAAAAAAAAAAAAAAAAAAAAAGACAGGGTAGTTGGTCCTAGAGAATAGAGGCTTCATTCACATCTTCCTGAGAGTTCTTGACAGAGCAGCAGGTAATTCAGACCTTGGACTACGAGAAGTCTAGGGCTTTATGATGTGTGAATGTCTTACAATCCCTTTTTTACAGATTGGCTTTCCAACATCCGCTCCCCACAGTTCTGTCAAAGGAACACGGAATCCGAGGTCCTCCCGGGAACAAGCTTTCCAAATAAGATATCTGATTCCTAGAAGACAGCAGGAAGACACACGGGCTTCCAAACGAGGAGCGGGTCCCCCCAGAAAGCACCGGCCACACCGGGCAGGTCCCCCACCTACTTCCTCGGTTTCTTTTCTGGAGCACAAAGAGAAAATGATTAAGATGTTTCCCGCTACTGAATTATAGAGCTGATCCAGGAAACACAGTACAGCCTAGTTAATGAACATATATCCCCCCCCACCCCCGTCTCCACCCACCGAGCGCAGAGAAGAACGCTGTTTGCCTGTGTATGCTTCGGATCGTTTGGGTCCCGAGCAATTCTCTCTCGTGAAATAGCTCAGGACAAAGGGAAAAGGGCCGGTGAGGGTCCTTCGTCCTTGGCGCATGCAGAGCGTGATGTCGGCTCCAATGTGAAGGATGGAGCTGTAGCAGCTGCCCCCACACCAGGATAGCATAGTGGGGCCATGTGTGTGGCCTGAGAAGGGGAAACCACCAGCTCAGCAGGGGCACAGTATGCGCTCTGCAGACACAGCACCATTAGCTGTGGCAGCAGGGGGAGCGATGGGGGCTAACCCCAAAGAACAGGACTCTGAGCATTAAAAGTGAGCGGCTGAACCATGTCATCCCCGGGTTACATAAGCCCATGGCCGCCCCTCCCAGCTGTCTTTACACCAAACTGAAACCAGTAAGTTATGTAACAATCCTAAAAAAACACTGCAGCTGGAGGGGAAGAATTTTTTTTTTTTTTTAACACAGCCTTGAGAAAAAAAGGAATTTATTGGATAGACAAGATATTGGGTTTGACACACATTAAATTAAACCCAAACAAATCCTTACTCGCTGAGGCTGGAAGAACACATAGATGAGGATTCCACATGGCTTTGAGATATTTAAACTCAAGGTTGGTCTTCTTTACTTTGACAAACACCTTTGACAAACAGACTTACAACTTGCGAACACACACTTTTGGAATGATAAGCAAGCTGTAACTATAGTGAGTGAGAAACTGCCAAAAATAGGCAAAACATTTTTTAGATCCAAAGACTAGAGAAAAAAATGCCAGACAATACCTTGGTCCCCTGGGAAGGAAATGCTTCTTCAAAATCAGCCAGGATCTGTTGTCCTAACTCAGTCTGGGCAACCTTCACTCTGCAGCAAAAAGAGAGTATGTCATTGGTAGGCATAATTTAAGAATACTGTAAGTAATGATGCAAGGATCCAAGGGGGTCAGGAGTGTCGAGATCCTTAGAGAGAATCAAAGGAGGAGAGAAAGATGGTTCAGTAAGAGAGGCTTCATACTACACGGCAGATGAGCATGACCCAAGCACCTGAAGTCTCTTCACAATGGAATTTTCTACATCCCAGAGTTATTTAACTCATCTCTCACCTGTCGTAAGGGAGCATAGATTCATCTTTACAAAATGTCATTTGAGGAGTTTATGCTGTGGGGAAATGCCTATATCATGATATCCAACTCAAGTGGGTTCCAAATCCATTTTGGACCACTTTGGTTCTCTTGCTTCTTGGGGTATAAACTGGGACAAGGGCTCCATTCAGCCTCAGAGGGTTTTTTTGTTTTTTTTTTTTGTTTTTTTGTTTTTTTTGCTTTTTGGGTCACACCCGGTGATGCTCAGGGGTTACTCCTGGCTCTGCACTCAGGAATTACTCCTGGCAGTGCTCAGGGGACAATATGAATGCTGGGAATCGAACCCGGGTCGGCTGCGTGCAAGGCAAATACCCTACCCACTGTGCTATTGCTCCAGCCCCCAGAGGTTTTTTTTGAACCCAGAAACCAACACCAGGACCATCAATTTGAGCAAAGAACAAAGAGATTTTCTAAAGTAAAACGAGAAAGATTCACATGATGAAATGAACTGCTAGGTGAGAGGGATGGCCCCTGGATGAGGGTTGAAGCACACTCAGAAACGATGAAGACTGAGTCACGGTGAAAACATGCAAGAATTGGGGGTGGGGGCCAGGGAGCGGGGAGAAGGTAGTAGGTAACACAGCGGCTTGTCTGATTATGAGGAACTCGAGAAAGTCTCCAGCCCAAGCTGACGAGGAGCAAGTAGCGGCAGCTGGGACGAGAAGGGACAGCGAGTCAGTGCTCCTGCAACAACAGCGCCTCTGCCAGGCGTGTGGACGTGGTAGGTGCCGGGCAGCAGCTGGCCAAGCAGAGCTGGGGCGGAGTCAGGCTGGACGGGACGAGACTGCTCGGGGCTTTGCTAAAAGCACTTATAAAGTGTGTTCTTCCTCTCCGACTCCACCCTGTTACTTTGAATTAACTTTATGAAGTTTCTAGAAATAGTGACTAGCTCAAAACCACAATTTCTTTGGCTACCGGGAAGTCCCTGGCGTCCTACTAAGATTCTTTTAAATGAGGGGATAGGCAGGACCCAAACCAGTCTGTTTTTATCCTGTGGCACAGTTATAATTATGCGTTACTCCAAATACTTTCCAGGGTTTTTCCACCATCTTCAAAACGTTTGAAACCACTTTTGTAGGTAGACTTGCATGCTCTTTAGTCAGATTTCATGGGGCTAGAAATGAGGGAGATAAGGCTATTCCCTGAGTAACACTCCCTCCTCACCCCCCACCCAGCCCCAGTCCTATCCCGAGTCAGAATCAGGAGGATCCAAATAGTTACCCAGTGGACCCTAGGAAACAGTCCTTGAGTGAGAGCATTGACAGGAGAGAAAACTTCCTGAAATCAAACTTCTGAAGTTTAAGATTCCACACCATGGGCAAGGCAGACTCTTCCCTTGGTGCTAGGTCCCAAGACAGAAACTTCCAGAGCTGTAGGACCCTCTATTCCTACCTGCCTCTGGCAGTGCCCAGAAAGCATTGGCTCCTTCTAAGTCACAAGGAAATTCCCGGAGGGACTGCCCACCCCGTCAAGGGGCAGCCACATGCCTGTCCTCAGTGCTCGAGAACATCTCAGAGAAACTGATGGTTCCAGCTCTCCCCCTCTGACCCCTCCCAGTCTACCACCCACTGGCTTCATGTTCTTGCTGGATTTGAAACTGAGGTGCCTGAAAAGAAAACTGGCACCAATGATAACTCCGGGTACTTGCAGAATGCAGAAGAGGAGAAAGTACCAGGTCATGATTTGCTGACCCTCTTCTGTCTTCAATCCATTTTCAAGGTAACCTCTCCTCATGATCAGACTTTGGTGAACTCTGTGTTATCGTAATTAAGTCTCTTTCCCTACGTGGTCACAGCTAAGAAGGAGAAGTGAGCTGGGGCATGGAGCAATAGTGCAGCGGGGAGGGCGTTTGCCTTGCACGTAGCCAACCCAGGGTTGACCCCTGGCATCCCATATGGTCCCCCAAGAACTGCCAGGAGTAATTCCTGAGCACAGAGCCAGGAGTAAGCCCTGAGCATCATCACGTGTGCCCCTCCTCAAGAAAAAAAAAAAGAGCTATGAATTCAACAGGTGGGGCTGGCGGCCTGGCAGGACACCTCTCAGGGGTGTCTCAGAGCTGACTCTCTGCTAAAACCCTTCTGACAACGATGGCTGGCAACAGCCTCCTTCCTTACAGCTGAATGCAAGTCTGATGTGTGACGAACACTGGAGCAGAAGGATGAGCTTCTGCACAGAAATGTTTTCAGGTGTGGTTTCTGAGATGTCTGTTGGCGACTCAGATGAAAGAACGCCTGGTTTCCCTATTTTCTTTTAATGATGACATCTATAAACGTAACCGTGCTGCCACGCACTGCCAGATGAGATGTGAATATGTCTTTTATTTCTGGTTGCCTAAACAGAATGCGTGAAAGAAAAAAAAGAAACCCACATGTAAAAGAATCCAGCATCGGAGGCCAAAAGGTAGTGTTAGATAGCAATTAGGCATGCCCTGATCCAGGCTCTTACCCTGGCACACATCCCGCGAGCATCGCCGAGTGCAGTCAGGGTGGCCCAGTTAATTCCCAGCACCAGAGAGCCTGAGCATCATCACATCCTCGGGCATCTGCACTGAACCACTGGCCTTGGTTAGCTGAGAATTGCCAGAAGGGTCCCTGGACCTCCTGGGCAGGAGTGAACCCTGCCCCTCCCCCAATATATCCACATCTACAGCCTCACTTTTTCATAGTCTTTCATAAGGGGCTGGAAAAACAGTTCACAGTAAGATGACCGCCTAAATACAGAGTCCATATTATACAGAATGATTAATAGGATTGGTTAAAAACTTCATCTTCAGAGAGGTTTGAATAGAGAAATCCCAATCCAATGACTCAGTGGGATGCTTTGGGGATCAAGTACAACCCTATACTTTGAAAACTTGTGTTTGTGGGGCCAGAAGGTTGTGTGGCTGCCGTGCACGCACCAACCAGGGTTTATCCCTGGCACAGTCAACTGGACCCTGAGCTCAGCCAGGAGTGGTCCCTGAACACAGGGTCAGGAATAAGCCTAGCTGGGTGTGGCCCCAAACTCCCCCAAACAAACAATAAAAAAGCTCCTTGAACTTGAAATTTGGGGGGCATGGGGTTCAGCTGGGACATAACCAGTGGTGCTCCAGGTTCTGTGCGCTGGGTTAGCTACTGGTCATACACAGAGGAGTGTGCGGTGCTGGGGGTCAAACTGAGTCCCCCATATGCAAAGCACCCCTTCCACCCTGCTGAGTCCTCTCTCCAGTCTGTCAGTCTCTTTATGACCTCCTTGAGAATGTTTTATCACTTCACCACGAGGCCCCCACCACCTGCCAAGTATCTCTCATGTGTAAGACGTTGGAAATAGCCCTGAAAGAGATATTTTCCTTCAAGGGTTTCATGAGTATCAAGAGGATGCAGGAATCTTCTATTCTTTCTCAGGAAATACTGACTGATCACCAGAAACATTTGCTTTCATGGATCTCCTTAAGCCAGGAGGATTTGAAATGTAAAGATATTAAGGTGGGGGAAATCTTTCCTTCAATGCTACATTAAACATTTAAACATTTTCCAGAAGGGCAGTTGGAAGAAACTGCCATATTCAAATAAAGGTCTGTGAACTTCATATTTCAAAGATCCAGGCAGATCTGAAAGACCTGAGAACACAACCTCTTGGAGGGGCTTTGGCAATTTATAGAGAGCAAAGCTATGAAACGCGAGAAAACGAAGCACTGCAGCGGGTGGGACGCTCCGGCCTCCCCCTCCCCGCAAACAAACAGTCATTTCTATCATTTCCAGATGGTCCCACCATGGCTATGTAAACAGACGGGAGGAAAATTCATCAGAAATGATGCTAAAAATAAAGAATCTGGACTTTCCTCAAACTTTTACTACCTCTTGAAAAACAATTGTAGTCAAGCCCTGAAAACAAGGTTTGTTCTCGTGCGTTTTCAGTGTCCCCCAAGTAGTACAGATGCTGATTAACTGACACAAAATTTTGCAACGGGACGTTGTGAAATGAACTGAAAGTAATTCCTCCTGTGCTTTGCAGCAGAGCCCTACGTGGTAATGTCCAGAGCAGAGAAACATACTGGTAGAGAGGAAGGGCTGCAGAGACGCTCAAAGGGCTGGGGGAGTCCCAGGTTCCACACCCCCTGCACTGCCTTGTCCCCCCTGCACACTTCTAAGAGTGAGCCCGAGCACCGGGCCAGGAGTAGCACCTAAACACCGCCTCCTTGGAAAAAAATGTTACAAGGCAAAGTCTCGCGAGGGCACACTCCGGGTTGGCCTCCACTACTGTTCTCTGCACCATCTGCCGTGCTGCCATGTTGTTGCCATCAACGGCAAAGCCCATCCCACACAGCTGGTGGGAACCGGCTCCCCAGCCCATTTCCTGGCTTTGAGGTCACCACCTTGGTAAGGTCAGCATCTGTTCTGTTCCAGGAAACAGTCGCAACTTCTGGTCTCTTGTACTTATTATCTCTCAGCCTTTCGAAGCTACAAATAAAATCATTCAGTCCTCTTCTAGGTTGAAATCTTTCATTAGGGGGCTGGACCGACAGTACAGCAGGCAAGGAGCTTGCTTGGCACACAGCTGGCTGGGTTCAATCCCCACCAACTCACACGGTCTCTCCAGCTCTTCCCAGAGTGAGTTTAGTGCACAGTCACGAGTAAGCCCTGAACACCATTGGGTGTGGCCCCCAAATAAAACCAAGTCCAAATCTTTTGCTGGGCGTCTGGGGGCAGGGGGTGATTCAAAGGGCTGGAGCACATGTTTTTCA